AACTTTAGAAATCTTTGGATTATAACAAACTTCGAAAGCCCTTTTCTGAATTCTTCTTTCTCTTTCCGACGATCTTAGATATATTCAATGCTTCTAAAATTATCTGTTTTATAGAAGACTTCTGGAAAGGTGTTCCATAGTTCGAATATCTCCTGAGAGTTCACTATATAGATTTAAGAGATCCTAAAAGTATTATTATTTGGCTATAAGACCTTCTAAAATCCTCATGAAGAATTTTTGGAGGTCTTCCACTCCTTAGATGCCTTTGGAAGATATAGATGATCTTGAAGAAATATTCAATCCATAGAAGATCTTGAGGACATCCTTTATTCTAGGAAGACCTTGATAATGTTAAATGTCTTTGGAAGACATTAAGGAGGTCATCGAAAAATAGAAGTCTTCTAGAATTCTTCTGAATATGGAACGCTTCTAGTAGTATTTTATCAATGGGAAACTTTGACAAATAAAAAAAAAAAATAAAAATTGGTCCTTCTATGGTAGTCCACTTGAGAGGTATTCTGTAGTTCTTAGACCTTCTGATAGGGCACTACAAAGGCCATATTTGAGGTGTTCTTTATGCACAAATGGTTGTCATTCGTGGGAGATAGTTTGAAATGTCTTCTGGGATGTTTTTAAGTCTTCTATAAATTGAATCTCCAGTCTATGGGTATGGTCTCAAAAAATATTTTATTGTGCGAGGTTCTTCTGGGGGTGGGTAATACTATGATTTTGTTGAGATGTATTTCATAGTCAGGAGTTTTGAGACCCCTTTTTAGACGACTTCTATAGTTGGCAGACCAGTTGAAAGGTCTTCCACTGATGAACAATCTTTTTCAAAGTTCTACTATATATCGAAGACATTTTGTGAAGAATTGAGGACTTATCATGATTGAATACCATTTGAGATGTCTTTTGTTTTATGAAAATTCTATGGAGAGACCTTCATGGGTAAAATCCTTTTCAGAGGTCTAATATAGATAAAGACCTCCAGAAGTCCATTTAATTGATTTCTTGGTAAAGAAGACCTTCGAGAGATATTCTCTAGTTATGAGGTCTTTTGACAGTTCTGCTATGGATATACAACTCTTTGAGAAGTTTTCTTATGAAAGTCAACCTTTTGAGCGCTGAATTGTTTTAGGAAGACCTCTAAAAAGTCTTATACATATGGAAGATACTTTGGAAGGTTTTGACTTATATTTCAGTTTTGAAACCATTTGACAGATCAGCTATAGATAAAAGACCTTTAATGGTATTCTATAGATAGATCCCCATATGTGAAGCATTTTATAAATTAAGATTCGTTTGAGAGGTCTTCAATATATTGGTAACCTCTGTGAGGATAGAAGATAGAAATTTTGGTCTACCAGAGTCGTGAATTTTTTAAAGAATATGTTATTTAAGGTCTATAAGAATCGTGGATTTGTTAAACAATGTTTTTTTCAAGGTCTATCAGAATCGTTGATTTTTTTAAGAATATTTTTAAAGTTTTTTAAGAATCGTGGATTTTTTAAACAATATATTTTCAAGGTCTATCAGAATCGTGGCATTTTCAAACAATATTTTTTCAAGGTCTATCAAAATCATGAATTTTTAAAAAGAATATTATTTTCAAGGTCTGTCAGAATCATGGATTTTTTAAGAATATTTGTTTAAGGTCTATCGGAGTCGTGGATTTTTTAAAGAATATTTTTTCAAGATTTATCAGAATCATGGAGTTTTTAAAGAATATTATTTTAAGGTCTATCAGAATCGTGGATTTCTTATGAATATTATTTTAAGGTCTATCAGAATCATGGAGTTTTTAAAGAATATTTTTTTCTTTTTTTCAAGGTCTACATATCTCGTGGATTTTTAAAAGAATATTATTTTAAGGTCTATCAGAATCGTGGATTTTTAAAAGAATATTATTTTAAAGTCTACCAGAGACCTGCATTTTTCAAACAATTTTTTTTTTCAAAGTCTCCCAGAATCGTGGTTTTTGTGAAGCACATTTTTTCAAGGTCTACCAGGCTCATGGGTTTTTTGGAACATATTTTTCAAGAATGAATTTTTCAAACAATTTTTTTAAAAGTCTACCAGAATCGTGTATTTTTTGAAACATATTTTTTCAAGCTCTGCCAGGATCGTGTTTTCTTTTTTTTTTTTTGGAACATATTTTTCCAGGTCTTTAACAATCGTGGATTTTTTTTTACATTTTTCAGGAATTTTCTATAGATAAAAAAATCCAGATGGACCTGCCCAAGGTCTTGTAGAGATATAAGACATTTTGAGAATTCTTTTAGAGTTCCTATACCAATGGAAAAGAAAAGAAAAAAGCTTATCTCAAAATAGGTGACTTTTTGATAGGCCTATCAAAAATTCTAAAAACTTTGTAATGATCCTTCCCAGGGAAGAGCTTTTGAATGATCTTCTAAAAATTAAAAATTCGTATAGAAGACCTCCTATGGCTCTTCTATACATAGAAGATCTTCTATGGGTGTTGTATTCATAGATGACCTCCTATTGGTCTTCTATAGATAGAAGACTTTCTATTGGTCTTCTGTAGATAGAAGATCTCCGATAGGTTTTCTATACATAGAAAACCTCCTATATGTCTTTTATACATATAAACCTTATATAGGTCTCCTATACATAGAAGACCTCCGATCGGTCTTCTATAGATAGAAGACCTCCGATCGGTCTTCTATAGATAGAAGACCACCGATCGGTCTTCTATAGATAGAAGACCTCCGATCGGTCTTCTATAGATAGAAGACCTCCGATCGGTCTTCTATAGATAGAAGACCTCCGATCGGTCTTCTATAGATAGAAGACCTCCGATAGGTCTTCTATAGATAGAAGACCTCCTATAGGTCTTCTATACACAGAAGACCTCCGATAGGTCTTCTATACACAGAAGACCTCCGATAGGTCTTCTATACAAAGAAGACCTCCTATAGGTCTTCTATACACAGAAGACCTCCGATAGGTCTTCTATACAAAGAAGACCTCCTATATGCCTTCTCCTATTGGAGGTCGTAAGTTATTTCATAGTTGTAGGACCCCTTGAACGATTTTCTACTGATAAACCATCGCACATAGCTTCATTTCAATTGAGAGGTATTTTATAGAAAAAATTCTATTGAGGATCCTTTATAGTTGGAAGACCTTTGAGAGAACCTTTATATTCTAAACACCGTTCGAAAGGTCTTCTTTATTTATTTTCAGAGGTCTTTTTCATATGGTATACATTTGGGACCTTAAGATAGACGACCTTGGGGCTCAAGATCCTCTGGGACTTCTTCCATACATGTTTCAATTTCTAAAAACCCCTTTGAGAAATTTTCCATTTATATTTTGTGTGTTCATGTTGTTGCTATTGTTGTTCCTTTTTTTGTTAAATTAGTGTGAGATTAATGTAACGCTTTAATCGCATCTGATTGATCCCAGGCACCTCCACTTCTAGCCGTTGGTGGTGGTGGCTCAACTCATATTTACACATTTAACGTGGTACGGTCATGGGCGCAACTCCATAAATGCTTTAACAAAACAGAAACTCACAAATCATATTTAAAAAAAAAAATACCGATTTGAAGAGGAAGTAACGCAAAGAAAAAAACAAAAACAATAATAAAAACCAATCAAGCGATTGGTTGCGCATGCGCGTACAAAAATACTTTGTCGTCCATTGACGATCAATGAATGGGAACGGGAATTATTTCACTTTGCTTTCCAGCTGAGCCGTGGATAAGCAAAGAAAATTGTGCTTTTGTTGCCAGCCAGCCAGCCAGCCAGCCAGTCAGCTAGCTAGGCGATTGCCAAGAACCCTAGCTTGTGATAAGCAACATTTTAAGAAACTTTTTATTTTTATGATTCAGTTTCCTTGGTTTTGATTTTTTTTATTCTTAATTTTTCCGATTTTTTTTCTCTGTGACCACAAAAGATTGAATTGTGACTTGGCGTAATAATGGTGTTCCTTGTGGTCCATTTGGGTGAAGCGTTTTTTTTTTGTTCTCCACTCCACTCCACATCAATGAAATCAAACTTTAGACACGTAACCAATTTGACACGCAATCACGTAGAACCAATCGTTTTCGGTTGATGGTGTGGCGTGCCGGTTATGCTTGAGTGGCAGAGCCAGGCCGCTTTGGAGATGCTGGATTAGTCGCTCGCTCATCTTAGGAAGAAATCTCTGTGGTTATTGTGTAGAAGTTTTCTTGGTTTGGAGGGCACAGTGATTTGGGAGAAACAAAACAGGTCTTCTATACTTTAAAGACCTCTTCTAGGTCTCCCATACAGAGAGGCCTTCTATGGTTAAAAGACCTACTAAAGTTCCTCTATGGTTAGAAGTCCTCCTAAAGGTCTTTTATGGTAGGTCTTCTATACATAGAAGCCCCCAAGACCTCCTATAGGTCTTCTATAGGTGTAGGTCTTCCAAACCTACATAGAAGACCTCCTATGGGTCTTCTAGACATAAATACATCCTATGAGTTTTCTATACATAGAAGTCCTTCTATAGGTATTCTATACATACAAGACATTTTCTATGCGGATAAGACCTCCTATAGATCTTCTATACATAGAAGATCTCCTATGGATCTTCTGTACGTAAAAGACCTCCTGTAGATCTTCTATACATAGAAGACCTCCTATAGGTCTTCTGTACATAGAAGACCTCCTATAGGTCTTCTATGCATGGAAGATCTCATATTTGTTTTCTATAAATAGAAGATCTATAGGTCTTCTATACATAGCAGACCTCCTATAGTTCTTCTATACATAGAAGACCTCCTATAGGTCTTCTATACATAGAAGACCTCCTATGGGTCTTCTATACATAGAGGACCTCTTATGGGTCTTCTATACAAAGAAGACCTCCTATGGGTCTTCTATACATAGAGGACCTCCTATGGGTCTTCTATACATAGAGGACCTCTTATGGGTCTTCTATACATAGAAGACCTCCTATAGGTCTTCTATACGTAGAAGACCTCCCAGGGGTCTTCTATACATAGAAGACTTCCTATAGGTCTTCTATACGTAAAAGACCTCCTATAGGTCTTCTATACGTAGAAGACCTCCTATAGGTCTTCTATACATAGAAGACCTCCTATAGGTCTTCTATACATAGAAGACCTCCTATAGGTCTTCTATACATAGAAGGCCTCTTCTATGCAGATAAGACCTCCTAAAGGTCTTCTATCCGTAGAAGGCTTTCTGTAGGACTCCTATAAAAATAAGACCTTCTATAGGTCTTCTATACACAGAAGACCTCCTATGAGTCTTCTATACATAGAAGACCTCCTATAGGTCTTCTATACATAGAAGACCTCCTATAGGTCTTCTATACATAGAAGACCTCCTAAGTCTTCTATACATAGAAGACCTCCTATAGGTCTTCTATACATAGAAGACCTCCTATAGGTCTTCTATACATAGAAGACCTCCTACAGGTCTTCTATACATAGATGACCTCCTATAGGTCTTCTATACATAGAAGACCTCCTATAGGTCTTCTATACATAGAAGACCTCCTATAGGTCTTCTATACATAGAAGACCTCCTACAGGTCTTCTATACATAAAAGACCTCCTACAGGTCTTCTATACAGGTCTTCCTAAAGGTCTTCTAGACACAGAATGCCTCCTTAAGGTCTTCTAGACGTAGACGACCTTCTAAAGGTCTTCTAGACAAAGACAACCTTCTCAGGGCCTTCTCCATATGTCAGACGTCCTAAATGTCTGCTATGGCTGCTCTTCCTTTTAGATTATCATTTTTGTGGACTTTTCTTATTATTTCCATTTTTCGAATTTATTATTTATCACCTCCATCCACCCCAGCAATCTTCCAACAATTTTTCATGGCTCTTCCGAGGATTTGCATTCTCAAGCTGGAACATAATTTAAGCTGCAATTGTTTGAGCTTTATTTTTCGCTAGCAATTTTTCTTCATGTTGTGAGGATTAACCGCATATGATTTAGCGTGTAGTCAGAATGTATGAGAGTGTATCTGTGTGTGTGTGTTATTCTGATATAGCTCTAGCTTTGCCATTATGATATGATTAATAGTTGTAACCATGTTGTGAGCTAAGACCTGAGTTTTTTTTTTCGTTGTTGTCTCTGTTAGTTCTAAGCTCTTCTAGCTGTTCCTTCTTTGGCTTACCTTAGATTTTCGCGAAGTGATAATATGACGGCTGTGTAGGTAGAGTGGGGAAGTTGGTAGGGAGATATGTAGTTTTGACATGGAAATATGAAAGGGCTTAAGTTCTTAACTTCAGTTCATAAGTAATCTTCTTAAGAGATCACCAAAATGGCATATTTTTATTTGATGGCAATTCTACGAAAGAAGAAAAAAAGGTTTTTGATTCGCTTATGAAGTGTTTGATTAAAAGAGAAGATTAAGGAGTGGATATTGTATTAAAAAATTGAGAGGAATATGGAAAAATGTATTTATAAGAATTATATACCCTAAAATTCTCATTTTTTAATATATACCATAAGATATACAGGGTGAGATGAAAAAACTGTAATCAACTTCAGACTGCTGTCATTTCTAAGCTACTCGTCCGACAGCTGTTAAAATTATTCCAGTGACAGCTCATTATATTGTTTACAAGCGTCCAAAAGCATTTTGTTGAGAATTTTCTTGAAAAAAGTTGTTCGCGATGGAATCGAAGGGTGATAATGGGATTTCTTTATATTTGGCTGGAAAACCGCAGGTGGCTATCGTTAGAGCACTCTAGCATTTAAATGTGAATAAATCGCACGTTACCGTGATACTGGTAGCGTAGCCCGATGTCAAGGAAGTGGACGGAAGAAAACAGCAACATCAGCACAAATGGTCCGAAAAGTAAAGAAGCACCTTGATCGAAGCCCGCGTCGCAGTGGACGAAAAATGGCTCGTGAGCTGAACATATCGCCATATCCCATTCGGCAAATATTGAAAAATGAGCTCGGGATGAAGCCATTGAAATTCCAAAAAGTGCAAGAACTTACACCGCAACAGAAAGAAAATAGACTCAAAAGAGCTATAGAGTTGCTTCGCTTGGACGAAAGTGGTGCATTGCGGAATTGGGGTTTCTCCGATGAGAAAACATTTGTTGTCCTGTCCAGCAGTTTGTAAACAAACAATTAGATCGTGTTTACTTGCCAAAGAGGTCAGCTGAAAATGTACACCTTCAGGTGGCCAGCAGAACTCAGGCTCCAGCCATGGTTATTGTGTGGACCGACATAACAGGCTATGGTCGCCCCCCTCTTGTATTAATCGATCGTGGCATCAGAATAAATGCCGAATATTATTGCGAAAATATTCTGGAGGGGAGACCTTGGACATTCCAACAAGACTCAGCACCATCGCACTCAGCACGCGCTTGGTTACAAAATGAGGTTCCTGGCGTCATTTCCAGCGCACAATGGCCACCAAAATCTCCGGATACCAATCCGTTGGATTATTGTGTCTGGAGTATTTTGGAAAGCAAGATTGGCACTAGAAAACACCAAAGTGTCGATCACCTCAAGCAAGCGCTTCACCGGAAATGGGTCAAAATACCGGCGAGCAACTTTCGAGCAGCGTGTGACGGTTTTATTGGCCGTTTGAAGGCCATAAGTCATGCCAAAGGTGACTAATTTGAACAAATCTTAACTTATTCTAAAATTTTATGCTATTTCCGCCATTTTTTGCTTTCATTCAATAAAATTAAAAAAAAATATTTAAAAAGTATGGCGTTTGACTTTGTTGCCATTTTTTTTAAACTCACCCTGTATATCTTTAATAGTCCTTGAAAAATATTCTTAGAATGTCCACGATTATCTGTCTGTCTGTCTGTCTGTGCACATCCATTTTTTATTTTGGAAAAAATTAAAAATTATGAAAAAAATATAACTCTGTGAGTCCTTTAAAATATACTCTCCACCTATCGACTGTAAAAAATAACCACAAAACTCTGAATGTCGATAGCTGTATTTTTTACAAATCATCTTAGGGTGCGATTTTATGATTTTATACATTCTTGTTTATACTGATAATTTTTCCAATATACCATTTTTGTTTTTGAATTTTTGTTGTTGTTGCCTACATTTTTTTATTAACAATTGTTAACGATATCTGTGTCGGAAGTGCAATGTAAACATTTTTTTGGTGGGCTAGTTTCTTGTTAAGAGCTATTTCTTCAGACGACTTTTAAAAAAATAATTATCAACACCCTTTTTTTCTTTATCTTTGCAGGTACGTTGTTGTTTGTGTATTTTTGAAGAACTCCCTATTCCATATAAGGCATTTCAAGGTAATTAAAAATAATTATATAATAAAAAAACTGAAACGACCAGCTGACCTCTGAATCGCCTATCTGGCCCTCCAGCTCGTCTATTGAGAATAGACCCGCTGGCTGGCCCACCAGCTCGTCTATTGAGAATAGACCCGCTGGCTGGCCCACCAGCTCGTCTATTGAGAATAGACCCGCTGGCTGGCCCACCAGCTCGTCTATTGAGAATAGACCCGCTGGCTGGCCCACCAGCTCGTCTATTGAGAATAGACCCGCTGGCTGGTCCACCAGCTCGTCTATTGAGAATAGACCCGCTGGCTGGCCCACCAGCTCGTCTATTGAGAATAGACCCGCTGGCTTGCCCACCAGCTCGTCTATTGAGAATAGACCCGCTGGCTGGCCCACCAGCTCGTCTATTGAGAATAGACCCGCTGGCTGGCCCACCAGCTCGTCTATTGAGAATAGACCCGCTGGCTGGCCCACCAGCTCGTCTATTGAGAATAGACCCGCTGGCTGGCCCACCAGCTCGTCTATTGAGAATAGACCCGCTGGCTGGCCCACCAGCTTGTCTATTGAGAATAGACCCGCTGGCTGGCCCTCCAGCTCGTCTATTAACAATAGACTCCTTGGCCCTCCAGATCGTCTTTTGACAATAGACTCCTTGGCCCTCCAGCTCGTCTTTTGACAATAGACTATCTGGCCCTCCAGCTCGTCTATTGACAATAGACTATCTGGCCCTCCAGCTCGTCTATTGACAATAGACTCCCTGGCCCTCCAGCTCGTCTATTGACAATAGACTCCCTGGCCCTCCAGCTCGTCTATTGACAATAGACTCCCTGGCCCTCCAGCTCGTCTATTGACAATAGACTCCCTGGCCCTGCAGCTCATCTATGGACAATAGACTCCCTGGCCCTCCAGCTCCTCTATTGACAATAGACTCTCTGGCTCTCCAGCTCCTCTATTGACAATAGAGACTCCCTGGCTCACCAGCTCGTCTATTGACAATAGACTCCCCAGGCCCTCCAGCTCGTCTATTGACAATAGACTCCCCAGTCCCTCCAGCTCGTCTATTGACAATAGACTCCCTGGCTCTCCAGCTCCTCTATTGACAATAGACTCCCTGGCTCTCCAGCTCCTCTATTGACAATAGACTCCCTGGCCCTCCAGCCCGTCTATTGACAATAGACGCCCTGGCCCTCCAGCTCGTCTATTGACAATAGACGCCCCGGCCCTCCAGCTCGTCTATGGACAATAGACTTCCTGGCCCACCAGCTCGTCTATTGAGAATAGACTCCCTGGCCCACCAGCTCGTCTATTGAGAATAGACTCCCTGGCCCACCAGCTCGTCTATTGAGAATAGACTCCCTGGCCCTCCAGCTCGTCTATTGACAATAGAGACTCCCTGGCCCTCCAGCTCCTCTATTGACAATAGAGACTCCCTGGCCCTCCAGCTCCTCTATTGACAATAGAGACTCCCTGGCCCTCCGGCTCCTCTATTGACAATAGACTCTCTGGCTCTCCAGCTCCTCTATTGACAATAGACTCCCTGGCTCTCCAGCTCCTCTATTGACAATAGACTCCCTGACTCTCCATCTCCTCTATTGACAATAGACTCCCTGGCTCTCCAGCTCCTCAATTGACAATAGACTCCCTGGCTCTCCAGCTCCTCTATTGACAATAGACTCTCTGGCTCTCCAGCTCCTCTATTGACAATAGACTCCCTGGCTCTCCAGCTCCTCTATTGACAATAGACTCCCTGGCTCTCCAGCTCCTCTATTGACAATAGACTCCCTGGCTCTCCAGCTCCTCTATTGACAATAGACTCCCCGGCCCTCCAGCTCCTCTATTGACAATAGACTCCCTGGCTCTCCAGCTCCTC